GATGGTGGGGGAATGAAGATATACCCGATCAAGATCCCATGGTTCCGTCATCCCGGGTATACCATCGGTTCAGTCTACCAACGCTAACAACTATTGATTGTAGTGTCCAGAGAATCTGATTAGCAGCCATGGGTTGCCTCCTCTCAGGGATCCCGAGTAGACTGAAGTGGCAAGGACAAGTAGTGGTTAATGTACAAGGCGTTCCACTTTCTTTTGTACCAGGGCTCCAGTCTCGTGTCTGCCAATCCCTTCATTCGATATGAATCCTATTCGTGAACAACTTTTGATATATGCAATGGAGAAGGAGCACTGAAAAGCGAGGCGTGAAGCGCTTACTAGCTTCCTCCTGACTGATCACCTGAGAAATCGCAATCTGAAACAATCCCGTAAACTACCGATGGACGAACCGGAGATAGTAATAATGGGATTCCTCAATAATTTTTTGATATTCTTGAGTATGATAGTAGTTCTTCTTTTGTTGTTTAAGGGCATGTTGTCCTTGTTTTTGTTACTTGTTTGTAATGGTTTTTAGATGAATGCAAATGCAGAAGTTCATCTCAAAATCCTCCCATTGCGAGATTTCTATTCAATACATAAATCAAGATCTATGTCAATAGGATTTGGACTTCTACTTATTACTTATTTCGACAGCAACAAAAGATCTTCGTCGTATGTGGGCTTTCCTAAGTGTTTTACTACTAAGTATAGCTATGTGGTTTTCATTGGGGTTAAGTCCAACAAGTTTGAATTGGTTTTTTGAGACCAATGGAGATGGTCCTATATAATGGGAAGGTCATTTGGATCAAAATGTATGTTTGAACCCTCAAAGGACTATTTGGTGATCAATTACGCTTAACTTGGTCAACCATAATTGACCAAGGATTGAGATTGGGCTCATTTACTTTCAAATGACATTTCAAACTTATTGTAAGAGATCTCATGCAAAGAGGAGGTCTCTAAGTTTGAAATGTAAATGAATGGCTTAAGGGGCTTCTGGGTTAATCATAGTTAACATGGTCAACCAAGGTTGACCAAAGTTTAGGTTTAGTTTTAAAACATCTCAAATGATGTTTGGAATGCATTTAAGGAGTTTCTAATGTTTGGTTTGAATGAGCCATGTTGAAGTTTGTGAGAATGTTTGCTTTTAGGGTTTTTTTTTGGGTTTTGGGCTCAAGTGGGCCCATGGTCAACAATAGTCAACTTAGGTCCAACAAAGATTCAGTTTTGAGTTTAACATGTCATGGGAATGATCATGAATATGTTCAAGGGTTTTTGGAGAGGGTCCTATGGTCAAATTCCACAAGGTGCACAATCTAATAGCATGTGCTATAAATATTTAAAGATTTTACACCCTTTAGGATTCAATGCATTTTTGGGGGTTAGAGAGCTTGGATTCCTCTCAAATTTGGAGGGTTGAACCTAAGAACATACTTGATTAATATGAAATTAAAAAATTATGAATCCAAGATCATTTGGTTTGATTTTGAAGTGATTAAAAAATTACCCAAAATGGGTTATGGGACATAGGCTTTTGGCCTTGACTTTTGGCTTTGGCTTTGAACTTGGTTGATTGGGTTTGATTTACTCATACCAATAATAATCATTTAAGTGATTGTTAGTGATAGGGTAGAAGAGACCTAATGGAAGCCATTGGATGACTACTATTTGAGATGGTTTAGGTTGAATTTAGATTTGAGTTTAAACTAGGTTTGGATTGAGTTTGCATTCAATTTTGATTTGATTAACCCCATATAAAAATGAAGTCAACATTATATAACAATATTTTGAAGCTTTAATTTAACTAAAATACTATTTTTATATATCAAAATAAATTTCTAAATCAGTAAAAATCATTGCATTTTTAAAATCATCAGAAAGAAAATATCAAATAAATACTCAAAATATTTATATTCTCAATCTCTATACCATATAAAAGTTATGCGGTGAAAGATTTTCTAGTACAAAATTATCAGTATTTTTTATAATCAAAATACAAATTTAATCTAAAAAATATTATTATAAACACTAAATTATTAAAATTATAAATAAGATATATGTTCCTTATAATGAGGCGAGCAAATATCCCAATAGGGTTGACATACAAAAATTGCTCTATGACTTAAAAATCTTTGTTTTTTTTTCTCTCCTCGCATTTCTCTCTAAATTTCCCAAAATTTTCTCTGTTAGCAGATTTGAAGAAAGGCAAATGGAATTTATTGTTTTCAGTTAATGGAATTAGATATTTAATAATAAAATTATAATAAAATTATATATTTTAATTAGTTTTTAGTATAAAATTTATATAAATATTTTTTTGAGCTTCAAAAATTATAAAAAAATATTCATAAAATAGTTCATTTTATTTAGAAAATGTTGGAGAAATTGATTTGCAAAATGGACACCTGAATGTCCCAAGGATTTGCACTAGTACCAAAAAATATAAAAAAATTTGTGTAATTAAAATACTATAATATATATGTTATAATGAAGATATTTTGTGATTTGGACTTTTAATAACTCTAGAAAATTTATTTGACTAAATCAAAATACGTGTTATTATATTCATAATTAAGGAAATCGGAGAATCTTACTTTTCTATATAAGTTGATAAATATCGTGACATATCTTCTAAAGAGCAAATTGTTATTATATGTTGATATGTTAGTGAAAAAAGTTAGATAGTTCAACTTTTTTGGGTATTACTTATGTTCTAGACACAACAGCTAGATGTCTCAAAATATATATTAAATGATTTCTTTGAACATATAGACATATAATTTAAGTATTTTAAGAATATGCAACCAAGGTTATGATGGAGCTAGCAATATGAGGGGCGTTGAATCCAAATTTGTTTGGTGGATGATGTCCAACCATACTTTATGAACCTATCTGTGAGTTAAGGACCTATATGCATGGATGATGAAAATATTGAGGAGGGGAAGAGAGAAAGTAGATTTAGACATAATCTTTATTATCCCTATAGAAATATAAGAATGAGAAGGGGCGAGAACTCTATCCAGCAGAGCTTAAACTAAAATAGGGAAAATAACATCTCTTTATCTCTCTCTATTTAGCCATGTCTCCTCTTGGTCTTAGATCTCATGTTCTATCTTTTGGTATCCCCTCCCCCTATTTATAGGGCTTGGGAGTTAGAATTAAATGTGCACATAGTACATGAGTTGTACTATTAGTCTTTGATATAGCTTGACCATATGTGTTGAATGGTGTGGCGATCTTATGGGAGATGATATGTGTGAGATGTACCCGTGAACTTTTGGAGATCGAGTCAGAATAAGGTAGGAAGCTGATTTGATGTCACCACGCTAGAGCGAGTGGGAGTGAATTATGATTTGATGTTGATTTTGAGCTCGATGATGATTTGATCACGAGAGATGTCTTTGTGGGTGAGATGTATATCTTTAGCTTGATTTTTTATGTATCTCACAAAGAAGACTTGATTTTGGCTAAGATGAATAAGGACTTGTCTGAGTGAGAGAGGAACTTCTGAGGTCACCGCCACTGGGGAGGTTGACTGCTTGGTAGAAGTGGCCAAAGGAGGTCCACCGTGCTCTAGTGATAAGCTCCTTCATAGGTCTTGAGTGAGTCTCTCAAATGGGTTATCCAGAGAGAGTTCTCCTTTTGCATGACCTAAACATAACTTGCAAAATACTTGCGAGGGGGAACAAGTAGTCATGGGTGTATAAAGGGGGAGTTTAATGGGCTAAAGATACTATTATTAAATGAAAATAAATCAAAACATTACATTTATTGATTGTCATACCAACTCCAATTAACCGAGTATTAGTTGCAAAATGTCATGTCTAAATTGCCTTATTATTATAATTAAAAAAAGAAATTATAATTTACTATCATTTCAGATGTGATATATATCATTAATGCTTCATGCAAGTGTCATAATCAGCTACGATATATATAACAAGAGAAGATAGTAAGTGAATTACGAAATGAAGAACTTGTCACAAGGCAAGAATTGAATCAAGAAATAAATCTAAGGCGTACAGGCGACACACGATGGGTTCGCATCATGAATCATTTATACGATCAATCATAATGTTCTCCTTAGTAACTAATATTCTATAAACTTTTTCAGAAGATGACATAGGCTCTAAACAAAGAGGTGAAGCATTTGTTTTATTAGAATCATTGTAATTCTTTTAATTTTATTTCTGTCTATATTTGATGAAAGATATACTTGGTATCACTATTAAACTATCACAAGCTTTATAGATAAGAGAACATAATATTATAAATGCTATGCCTTTAATTAAAATATTTAAAATAAGATTATAAGATATGAGAAATAATAGGTGGAAAGACTTTATTAATACAATACCTTCATTTTGTGAGCAACCACAAATAGACATTCCTCATACAAATGACAAATGGGTTGCTTGTGGACACCCTCATTGTAGAGCTCAAGACATAATAAGTTTATATTATTTTTGAGTTGAAGTATTCTACATAGTCATTGATATGCAACATCAAGAATTTAAAAATCATTTTATAGAGATAAATATCGAGTTACTTTTGTCTATTGTCGGTTTGAATCCAAATAATTCAAAATTTTTTTTTCATTCAATAAAGATGAGTTTATTAGAATGATCTAGCAATTCTTAAAAATCTAGAATAACCTTAAGTAGATATGCAATATAATGAATAATTTTCTTACTTAAAAAGATATTTGAGGCCTTATAGAAAAAATGATGCAGAGCAGAGATGATGCTTTTATATTCCCTTATTTTCAAGTTATTGGAATTGATTTTATTATTGGCATTGGCAATTTAAGCTTTAGGCAGACTTCTAAAAATATTGATCAAAGATTTTTTTAGCACATAATAATCACCATCAACTTTATCCTACTTGAATGTTATCAACTTCTCTACCTTGCTTCAGAGCATATAACGAACAATAAAAGCCCAATATCAAAAAGAAAATACAGTAAATGGCGATGTTCCTATATTAATCAAATTGTGGTTAATCAACTGATGTTCTCTTGGCTCAATTTCACTCTTTGAGTAATTCAAGTAAATTCATTTTCAACGCCCGGGCTGTATTGACTACCCATAACCAAGGTCACTGTGGACGTTTCGGCGACGGCGAAAGATGGGATGGCTGTCCCTCCCCGATCCCCATATTCCCCTCTTGATCGCTCTTCCTTCTATCGTTCGTCGCTTAACCCTAATTCATTCTTGTTTTCGTTTTCATCTTAGCTTGATTTATGTATAAATTTCTTAAATTGGATTTTCCTCCAGGTGCTTGTCTTGTTTCTCAGCATTGCGGCGTTTTTCCTTGAAATTGTCAGGAAGATCGGATGCAAGCACTCGTGAGTTCCACTTGTCTACTTTATCGCCATGTTTTCGAAGTTATTTTCTTATTGCGGAGTTGAATTCCAGGTTCGAGAGGACAGATGCCTCGGATGCATTCTTTGAAGATCCCAACTCGTTGAAGAAGGTCAGAAAGCATCCAAGTTATAATTTTTATTACATTTATGAAATTAATTGCTGCCTGTATGAAGAAATTTCACTTTTTGATTTGTGTGACAACTGATTTGTAATGTTTCTTATTATGATAATGCGACATGAAATTTGTGTGCTTGATTGATGATAGCAATATGTGGGATATCATACATTTGTTATACTTGTGATGCCCCGAGATCTAATTTGGAAAGAATGTCAATCAATTTCACAACAATTTACCAGAGTTATCTATAAACCTTCAGTAAGCAATCTATCAAACATCTATAAAATTTAAACATCAATATTCAAGTCGATTCATATCTCAAAACATCATATACAATACTCAGGAACTAAACTATCAATACAAGTAGAGAAATCTATCCTGTCCTGAGTACAAAAGAATCATCTATCGATCAAAAGACAAAAAACCTGAAGATCTGGATCAATTCCTATCTCCTGCTCCTTATAAAATGGTTAATTTCTAGGCATATTTTCTATGTAAATCAAAACTTAATTTCAAAAGCTAAGAATGAAAATGCATAAACAAACTTCTTCTAGTTGAGTTTTTTTTAATTAATATTTTTTTGGGGGGAATGCTTTCTTAATTAACAACTCAGTTCTTGAAACACCTCGCTTAATTTTGTAGTTTTGATTAGGTAGAAAATCTCTTTGGTATTGCTACAGTAGTAGTGCTAACGAGATTGAAGGGAAAGGCATTCTTGAACCTGATGAGCCAATACTTATAAATTCAATGCTTCTATGAAGGCAATTTTCCAATCATGGCAGTTGCACCAGATAAAACTTTATTATATGTTTTCAATATCACTGCATATGTACATTATAGTCTTATTGAGGGACTGTTTTTTTATCTGTAAAGTAATGCTCTTGTATTTGAGATTCTAATCTAATTTGAGCCACTGCATTTCTTTGCCGAAAATATAAAAGCAATATGCCTTCACTATTATTCTACGTAGTGCCCATTACAAACCCACATGATCTAAAGCAATTGGGCTAATTTGGCTGCCTGATCTATATTATATGGGAACATTTACGAGGAGGGGAGGAGGAAGGAGGGGAATTGGGTGGGGGTGGGGTTTGTTTGTGTATGTGTGTTTTGGGGTTCATACAGTTGCGTTTATATAGAAAGCATATTTTGGAAAGTGGTGATTTAGTTTTGCTCATTTGAATGTGAGCTATGAAATCATCACTTTTGAGGGATTTTGAAAGTATTTGTTGAAGTTAAAGTTCATATTGATTCTAACTATGTAACCAACTAACAAAATCTAATAAATATATTGTTTTCTAACCATATTATCTAACTTCAAGCAACCAAATCTGTCCTTAGAGCCATAAATGCAGAACGAGACTTGGTTAAGTTAATCTATCAATGCAAACCCTACAAGTTCAAAAAATAAGCAAGAAAATGCAATAATTATTCATTAAAAAATGTTTTCTAGATGATGCAAATGAAGATTATGATATACAGTATATCTCCCTTTGATAATTGTCATATCTAATTCCAAGATAGGAAAATTGCTGTCTCATAAAAAGTATATATTTTAACCAAGTTTCTTGGAAAAATAAATGACAATGGTAATATTTGATCTTTGAAATTTTAGTAGCAAGATTTGAGGTTTTCCTTTCACTGGAATCATGGATGCAAACTTGAGAGTGGGAGATTTAGGTTGCTCCAATATTGCACATCCATATGATTCCTAGAGGTGGAGGACAAAAGAATAAGAAATACAGATTTTTTAATTCAAATGGGATGTCAAGCATATCTTCAAAGGTTAAGAAGCAATCCTTTAATCTTTATTCATGAAATGAACTAGGATTTCTTGATACAAGGGGAACCTTTATGTAGGGAAGCCACATAAGAAAAAATGGATAAATATTCTTTAATATTAGAAGAACCAACAAAACATATTAGATCTTATCGATTCAGACATATTGACTGGCTGTGTTCTCGCTGTATGACCCAATGGACCTTTTGATTGAGCTGGTTTGACTATAAATACATTCTTAATCCTAGAATTATGCATAATTACATGACCAAGCAAGACAAATTAAACAAACTATTATTAGAGTTTTAGGCTAAATTTAAAATCATTACATAATGGCCTCACTACAAGGCCACTCTTTTTAGAAGACACTAGACTAAAGGGTGTTTCTCAATTGGTGTTATGATTTTTGTGCTTCTATTGTATTTGTACTTTGAGCTCCACATCAAATACTTGTCCATCTAGCATAAACTTGCATTTCCATTTTACTAAAAAAAAAAAAAAATCCTTCAAAGCCCCCTTACGGTTTGTTTGAGAAGAGAATAATAATGATTAATTTAATGGTTCTGTAAATTTACGACTTTAGATTCATGTGTATACCCCTTTATCTTTGCATTTGTACTCTGTTAAGTACTCAGGAAAAACTTTATATGCATGTGAAACATTTAATTTTCATTCTCATCTATATATTTTCCAGTTGGAATATTCTATTCATACACAATGCGAGTTTATTTTTTTAGAGCTGAATTTTGTTTTCTTCATATTTATTGTCATTTGAAATTCCCCAGGTTCCATGTCCATCAATCTTTGATAATGCAGAGAAGTACTTATCTCTGATTGTCCCTGCATATAACGAGGAGCATAGGCTTCCTGCAGCTCTTGTTGAAATGATGAGGTGACTAGTTAGTGATTCACGAGGCATATTGATGGAGAATGTTATACTTGTTTGGGTACCCTAAAGAGTAGTATGGAAAAATCTAATTGGTGAAGCCGTTTTCTTAGTGAAAATAATCCTTATGGTAATTATTGATAACTGCATAAAATATATCACCTTTTTGGTACATACACTAAACCCTGCTTCAGTTTCTATCATCATATGTTTTGTCTCTATGTGGCTCAGAATTGGAAAAACATTTTTGCATTATTTGTAGAACTGAGTGGTATTAGTCAACTTTGATATTAGGTTAGTTTGTTGTTAGAGGGGCCATCTTACTTCAATTATTTACATGAGACCTGCAACTGTGCCTTATATCGTAGTTCTATTTATGGAATGAAATGACAAAGAACCTATTAAATTTAACTATCTTTAAGATATATTATCCTAGTTTGCATAACATAATTTGTATAGAACATTTTTACATTGTGCATCCAACAGTAGCAACAACAACAACAATGACGACAACATGGCTGTTATTGGGCCCCAAATTGTATGAGAAAAGTGGAGAAATTGTGTTAGATAGTCGACATCCAATGTAAAATTTGTCAAACAATCACGACATTTTTACATTGTGAAACATTAGTATTTCAATTCAATACTTCAATATCAGAAGGTTGATAATCTGTATGCATACAATAAACTTAAGATAGCCAAATTTACATTTCTTTTACTGATCTGGCTTTCTTTCTTTATACGTGAACCAAATTATCATTCGTTCCAACAGAATTAGCTTTAGAAGCCACCGATCTTGGCTCAAAGATTCAGATGGAAATGCCATTCTACACTATAGGAAGATGCTAACTTGAGTACAAGTGATTTCCATTATCTCTTTTACATCTGGATGAGAAGCCTTACTCTTGAAAGATTTCCCTACTTACTAAAAGTTTTTGAGTCAGTTGGATTCTATTATTTCTAAGAAAGGAACATTTGGATATAACATACACTTAAACTCCTTGGTTTTATTCAGATATGTCGCAGGTTGATAAACTCTCTATAGTTTTTCTTATTTTCATGTTGTCAATTGACTCAATTGTGTTGTGACTTCAGATTTGCTTATGTTTATGTAAATGCATAATTTGATAACATTCCTTCTTGCATGAGCCATCTCTATATATTTCTATCTTATCTAGTCGATTGTGCACGTGATCTGGTTATGATTACAATAAGAAATATTTTCAGCCTCAAGGTGATCTTCAGAATCTTTCAATTTTTTTAGCTTTTTTTATTTGCAATACCAATAATATGTCATTTGTCTTGCTGAATACTTTTGTTCATAAAGATATTTTTCCTTGCAGTTATCTTCAAAAACGTGCAGCGGCGGACAAGTCCTTCACTTATGAGGTATTTTCCTCTCGGAGTTTATTGTAATGAAGCTATCGAGTCAGAATTCTTATTGGAAAATTTAGCTGTAGAAATTAATTCACAAGGTTTCTCAACACTATTTGGTGCTATTTCATGTAATTGTAGCAGTGATTTTGTTTTTAAAAGCATCATTCATTGTTATTTTATTAAATATTTAGAGTCGACATTTTGAATCTTTGTTTCTATTCATGTCTTTTAAGCATTAGGTCACATTTTAACTTTGCTTTATGTAGGCACTTCACAAATGTTTTTATAATATTACCTTTGGTCCACTCATTTTTCTTTCTATTACTTTTACATTAATTTATTTATTATCCCTATTGTTGCTTCTTGTGCCAACCTTTTACGTGCTCAAAGATTAAATTTTATTTCCTCGATCTTATATTTAATAGGCAGCATTTCATTTGCCTCTCTTATATAATCAATTCTCACTCATACTTAGTTTTACCATATATCCATTTTAATGTTTTAGTTTATGCTATGCCCTACTTGTCAGGCATTTATTTTTTTGTTGTCCAAAACTTTAATCCATCTGACAAACTAATCTTTTTAGAATTCTACAAAATTTGTCTTAAATATTCAAGAAATTTTCTTATCATATGACACTCCTGAGACATTCCCATTTTAGCTTTTACTTGGAGTGGCTTATGTTTTTCTATTTTTTGTGTTTTGGATGACTTCTTTCCTTGCTATAGAAACAGTCAAATGCTTTATCAAATGAAGTCTTAGCCTCTTTTTGCTTTAACTTTACTACTAATATCCTCTTAATACCTCCATTTTGTTGTAAAATAAGATTCATGGTACTAATGGGTTCTATTATCACATGATCTTTTACTAATACTTTCTATGTATAATTTCATATGAATAGTTAATGAGCCAAACATGATCAAACAAGGGTTGGTTTGTGTTCGAATCTTCTAAAAATGAGCTTAAAATATATGTTCAAAAGAACTCATTTTCATAATGAGTCGAACACTAGTTGCTCATGACCAATGAGCATTTTGATAGCCCAAGGAGTGGCTTGTTTTGGACAGAGCTGTTTGTTGGAATGAATGGCAACGAAGGTTATTATAGGAGGAAAAAGTTATTTGTACTTGAATGATATTTCATCCTCAAGATAAGTAGTAACAAAGTAGTGATCTCCTTCACTGAAAGTGACATCAATGGACACTTTTTTTGAATGGTAGTATCTATTCAATATTTGTATGGGGGAATAGCTAATGAAGATGCATTTATTTTCTCGTGAATGAGTTTTTTTTTTTTTTTTTTTTTGGTATTTATTAACAAAATAAATGCTTGCAATGAGTTTTTTTTTTTTTTTTTTTTTGGATATGTATTAACAAAATCAATGCTTTCAAATATTTTGGAAATAAGATTGTTTGAATTGTTGAAGCGGGAGAAAGAATTTGATTAGGACTTTTGCGTAACTCATTCAACACTAAGGCTAAATCTTTCATGGATTTATTGGTAATCATGACACCTCTTCTCCCTTCTTCCATTGAGATAATGACGATGACCTTATTTAGTGATGATAAATTGTTCTTTCCTAGAATTTATACTCTTACAATATCAAACTTAATATTTAATCCAGCAAGAACACCATGAATTGTCCTTTTTAACATATTTTTTTTATGAACAGTCACATGTTTGTTGTATTCCATTTGGATGCATTCATAATGATTCACCTCTTACCACAACCATTGCGTTGCATTGGAATAGTCTATGATGGATCATTTCCCTTGTTTTGCCGATCAAACCTTAGTCCTGATTTCATAGATTAGTGCAACATCACAAATTTTAGAATATGTTTGATTTATTGTATCTTATTTTTTTTATTGAATGAAGGAACATGCATGTATCACTAATCTCAGGAATTATAGAGCTCCATAATTAGGACATCATCATATAGTTCTATTCATCCTAAACATTAAATGTGGGATTGTCTTCTTAAGGTTTAGTGAAGAAAATGACCCTATTTTCCTCTTTCTTTTAAGAATGTGCGAACCAATTGTGTTCACTTAAGATAGTTCTTTACATTTAGTTTATTCAATCAATAGGTAGAGTGGATGTTTGTAAATCTAAAATTGGTTTTGGATTATCGGCCTCATTTTCAAGACGGAAGACCAAGCGAACATGCTTATTGTTATTCATGTAGAGGGAAATTGTGATGGTACTTTGTTTGCATAAAAGGGATAAAAATAAGTTACAACAATGAAGGCTGCAAGATTGCAATAATGTAGTGATGAAGGCTGCAATTATAGGAATGAGAGGTAGGAAAGGGAATACAACAATGAAGGCTGTAGTATTTTCTCAATGAAAAGAAAAGCTTAAAGCTCTGATATCATGACAAGAATTAAAGAATTGGTTAGGCATTTTATTCTACTGTTTGTGTCGATGTTTAAAATTGCGTAATGAGGTATTGAGGCGTTTTTCGTTCGTGAGGCGAGGCATAATCCTCAAGGCGTTTTGAGGCGTAAGACTCAAAATAAAAAAATTGCGTAAACATAAAATAATAAATTTTATATATACTAATGAGTAAATAATACATAAAACATAAAAATGCACAAGATATGAAGTGAAATCAAAATATCCCAATAATAAGACAACATGAAATATAATTCAACTCAAACTCCATCTTTCCCAAATCACAGTATTCTTTTCATTAACATATAATTCCAAAACTAAATAACAATGACATATCACATAAGAACTCATAAGTCATCAACACTGTCATCACTAAGGGGGGTCTTCATTTGAATCATCAGTATGATAAACTGCTCTCTCCCCTTCCTCCTCTCCTATAGAGTCCAATGTCTCCCAATCAGATCCTTCCTCAATATCGGTTATCTTCCTCTTCCCTAAATATTTTTTAACAATCTCAAAGTATATAATAGTGTAATACATTGATAAAAGTCTAATAAAACTTTATTATTTATATACCTTTTTTTATTTTTTCTTGAGTTGTGATGGATGTAAATGCTTTAAGACCATCAAAGAAATCAACATTTAAATCTTCATCTTGTAATTTAGACGACATCACATCAACTTCATCATCTACAAACCACTCATCATCAGATGCCACATCCTCGCAAAGTAAAGGATCTTCATTATCCATTAATCTTTTTTTTCTTCAAATTCCTATATTTGAGTCTCATATTATACATAATATACACCAGTGAATTCATCCTCAATGTGGACAAGCGATTTCTCCTTTTTGTATGTACTTGGTTGTAGGTACTCCAATTTCTTTCAAACGAGAGCAAGGGGGCGCTGCCCTCTGGCGAGGTTCGACCTGCTCGGTCAGGTCGTGGGGTCAAGGGGCAACTCCCCTGTGGGGGTTTCCGGTGGTAGCGCCCCAGAACAAATTTTTATTGTAAGAGTAATTTTGAAGTTCTGCTTGTTTTTAAAGTTCGTAAGTTGTTTGTACTTAGCGGTACCGAGCATGTACCTAGTGGTACCGAGCATATACTGAGCGGTACCGAGCATGTACCTGCTCGGTACCGAGCATGTACCTAGTGGTACCAAACATTGTTGTACCGAGTGGTACCGAGCATATACCTAGCGGTCTCAATGTGGAAGGAAGCGGACGCCGAACAAAGAGGGAAAAATGTTGCGATAGAAGATAACTCCAACCAAACTCGCGGTAGAAGATAACTCCAAGCAATAAGCGAAGAGCAACTCAATGTGGAAGGAAGCCGACGCCGAACGAAGAGGGAAAATGGTCGCTCGAAAAAGAAGGGAGAAAACCTGTTTTCGGGAAATGACGGAAGACCGCGCGGGGGTTAGGGGGTCCGAACTGAACAAATATATATTAGGTTAGCTTTTTTTTTTTTAAATTTTTAGAGGCGGATGTCTCTCAACCTTGAGGCGAGGCACGCTTGAGGCACGCCTCAGTAAACTTGAGGCGTACGCCTCAAATCCTGAACTCATTGCGTGGGCTTTGAGGCTTAAAGGGGCGAAATTGCGCTGAGGCACGCCTCTTATTGCACAATTTTATACCATGGTTTGTGTTAAATTTATGCGATCCCAGAGACTTTTTAAGTAGGAAATGTATGAGAGTAGGGGCTGAAATTAGAGATACAATAACAATAGAATAGTTACAATCAGTATAATAGGAAAGCAATAAAATGATGACAGCAGGTTTGTCAGAGGGAGCAGTTAACTATCATTTATTTAATACGGTTAAGAAAGAGGGGATAAAGTTATGTGGTCTCCTTCGCTATATATATGTGCAGGGCTTCATAATATGTTCTTATTTCAAATACTTGTTTTTGGAAAGTTTACTTCTTAACAATTCAAGGGCATGTACCCCTTTTAAATGTGCGCTGAATAAATAGTCAAAAACTATTGTAAGCCAATCGAATGGTTTCTATTGCTGATGCTATTTGCAGCTGTTGATCTGGCTACTTCAACGTCATCATCCGTATACATTCTATGCTCCTTTACACAATCAAGCAAGCCCCACAATGACCTAAACAATTGAGAGTATTGAGAGTCTATAAGTGAAGATGCAAAGGGCAGCTTTTGTATATGAATGCTTGGTGTAGGTAGACGGTATAGTTTATTAGCAAACTTCACATAGATTAGAGTTGCAGTGCACATCCATTCTTGTATTGGCATGGTTGTATACATCTTAATATATTGGTAATAAAAATCAATAGTTACTTGGTACTGCTAATGTTATACATTTCTATTTTTGTAAGTAATCATTTTTCTTACAATTCTCTGTCTGATGTTTTCTCCAGGTGTTAATAGTAGATGATGGAAGTACTGATAAAACTTCTAAAGTGGCATTTGACTTTGTTAGAAAGTACAAGATAGATAATATGAGGCTTCTTCTTCTTGGAAGAAATCATGGGAAAGGAGAAGCTATTAGAAAAGTAAGTACTTTTATAACCTTTATATTCAGAAGCATTTTTCTGTGGTATAATAAATCAAAAAGGTATACCCAATTCCGCCAATGTTGGTGAAAGTAAGCACTTTGATAACCTTTATATTGAGAAACATTTTTCTGTGGTACAATAAATCGAAAAGGTATACCCAATTCCGCCAATGTTGGTGAAAGTGTTAGGCCGGTCCACCGGCCCTGAATAAGGGGCCGGTTCACAGGTATAAAAGGCGGACCAAGGCTGGTCCGCCTCCTTTGAATTAGCCGCCAGAAGGAGGTGCCGCCAATAGAAGGTGGGGCCCATTGGATTAATGAGCAATTAAGAGAGAGAGAGAGAGAGAGAGAGAGAGAGAGAGAGAGAGAGAGAGAGAGAGAGAGGGGCTAGGGTTAGAGAAGGGGGATTTGCTTTAAATAAGAAGAGATTAGGAGAATTAGGGCATGCTTATTATTGTATTCTCTTGGAGTTCTCTTGGGTGTTTTGGGTTGTAGATTCGTCATCTAGAGATTGAGAGAGAGCGATCCTCTCAAATTGAGGATGAATTGTATCTTTGCTCGTTCTTGATTTTGGTTTGATTCCTATAATATAATATACTGTTTTAGATTGTCTTCATTGGATATATTGAGGTTTTATCTCTGTTTTTATGAATCTTGTTAGGATTTACTTGTAATATTCAAGTATTTCCTATCAGAAAGCAAGTATTTTTATAAACTTTATATTGAGAGACATTTTTCTATGATACAATACATCACAAAGGTATACCCAATTCCCCCAATGTTGGTGAAGGATTGATGTATGCAATTTTACCCCTAAACTATGAAGATATGGTTTGTGTGATTCGAATTGGTGAACATCAAATAACGATGGACACAGCCTAATTGTTTGGGGAAGAATTTTTGTAACTTTTGTTGTTCTGAAGTTACGCAATTATACTATTTTCTCCCAGTATTGTTAGTTAAGAGTATTAAATTTTATTCTGCGCTGATTGATGTTCCTGACTCTGGGGAATGAATGGCATTGCAGGGAATGCTTCATTCACGTGGTGAACTTCTCCTAATGCTTGATGCTGATGGAGCGACGAATGTTACTGACTTAGAAAAGCTTGAATCTCAGGTCTGCATTGAGAACTATGAAGCTGCATGAAATGTTGATTTTATGACTGTCAATATACAGTTCAGTAATCACAAGTTTCCTCTATTTTCTTACTTCAGTAGTGTTAATTGTGTTCTTACTTCTTTTTAGGTATATGCAACGGCTAAGAATAAAATAGATGATAAATCTCTAGCTGAGTCATCTAATGATATAAGACCCAAGCTATCAGATATTGAAGTTTCTGTATTTGGTTCCCGGGCACATCTTGAGAAGCAGGCTCTTGCTACTGTATGTTTCCTAATTTATTACCTCCCTTCTGACCTTTTTGTTTATCCAGGACTTCTCACTTGAATTCTAAGTTGTTTTCTTATGATTTTCCAGAGGAAGTGGTACAGAAACTTTCTAATGAAAGGTTTCCATCTTGTGGTTTTATTTACTGCTGGTCCAGGTATCCGTGATACACAGGTATTCTTGACTATGGGCCCATTTTATTTTGTTTACAGTCTGATAGGAAATACTTGAGTTCGCAAGTAACCCTAAGGGTAATACTTGAGTTTGCAAGCAAACCTATCTCCAATTGGTGAAAAATAGCGAGAATAATATGAAATCTGGGTGAAAACAGCCCAAACAATATATTGCGGTAGGTAAATCAAAGCCAAACAATAAGCAAAAAACAAGATACAAGAGATCTTCAATTCGAGAGGAGGATTGTCTCTCACAAATCTCTAAACAAGAGATTATAGAGCCCAAGTCTCCAAGAAACCCTAATTGAGAACAAATCAAAACATAATCCTTCCCTAAACATCTCTCCGTCTTAATACAAACACTTTTCTAATCTAATCTCCTTCCCGAGACCTAGCCTCCCACTCCTTTTGAATTTAAAATCTATTAGGCAAGTTGGGGCCCATCATGCAGGCGGGCAATAGCAAGGGAGGCAAACAAGTTCCGCCTTCTATAAACCTGAGGGCCGGCTGGGTCGGTTCAGGGTGAGCCGGCTGGGCCGGTTCAGGGTGAACTGGCGGCTTAACACAGTCTTAAAAGCATGGGTTCCAATGCATTACAATTGTAGAAAAAATTTCTTATGCTCTTTCCCCGTTCTTAATATTTTTATCATCTGTTGCAGTGTGGCTTCAAGATGTTCACAAGGGCGGCTGCTAAGAAACTTTTCACAAATATTCGATTGAAGAGGTATCCTTAGCATGCTATATGTTGCTGACATTCTCTGTTTTTTGGTATTTGCTATTGGTTGCATTAATTTCTTTACTACATCAAAATACAGATCGTTTCCACTATTGATTTACTTTCTTCGATATACCACACAAACCATAGTATATATATTAGTTGCAAAATATAAACTTGTCCAAGCAGCACTCTTAGCGTTCTGTTTAAGAAGGGGATTCTTAGGATCATAAATATCAGTGTTGGCAATTACTTTTAAGTAAACAATTACAAGCTTTTGAAAGGATAATGTTCTGTCATTTTCAAAAGAGGAGAATGAGGAGAGAGTGGGGAGAGAAAGGGGAGGGAGGGGAGGGAGGGAAGAGTTTGGGTATGGAGGTGGGGAGAGCAAGGGAGAGGAATTATTTTAAGTTTGTGCATTGGGATATGAGTAGCATTTGGGCTTTCTTATGCTTAAATTAATAAAATGAAATCACAACTGATAAATCTTCACAGGAAGGAGAAATGCCTAGTTTGTAAATGAGTTTGGCATTTTCGTTCAAATAAGATGTTATAAAGGCTTAAATACTTATTTTGGTCAATCCTTTAAACAGATTATGAGATCCCTTAAGAATCTATTTGGCGGATGAATCTTCAAATTGTTGTGCATTCAACGCTTCAAAGAGAAAGTAGAACAAATTCATAATAATTCTCTTCGCATGTTTTTAACTATTATTACTTAGAAATGTATATTTCTTACCCCAAACTCCATACATCACACACACTCACTTTTTGTAGTTGGCCTTCATTTTCATGCATGTCGACCTCGTACCTTATAAGTGTCAATCCTAACTTGCTCTCTCAAATGCCCCTTTGTCCGTAGCTGAGCTCCCACACCATTTATTTTAGAAGACCACCTCCACAAGTTAATAAACTTCCACGCAACCCCTTTCTTGTGCCAGCCTTTCTGCTAATCGACTCTTTTGTATTATGTGACTGTTCTGCACCGCCTCTAGGAAAATATGCATTAGACACGATGTTATAATATTATGTTTTAAAAAATTATATAATAGTCACATAAATTAAATAAATATGAAATTAATTTATATAATAATAATTTTTTAATTGCTTGTAAAATAAGCAATGTATTTAAATTTATTAAATACCATAAACTTAATTGAAGGATAAATAATTAAATAGTCACTTGATTATATATATTTTTCCTTGAAGTTGAGATAATTAGTATAAAAATAAAAAATATATAAAAAAAAAGAAAATGTAGTAAAATAAAAAAAATTAATGTGAATATTAAGTTGTCTAAGTAATAAATTTTAAAATAAATTGAATAGATGGCTTAATTTAAGTCATTTATGTAATATTCTTTTACAGATAAAATCTATTATTCAAGATATGTGTCAGACATTCATGTTTGCTAATTTTTATTTTCTTAATTGGACTTGCAAATGATGTATTCGACATGATTGGGCACATGAACATGTTCGATATAACATACTTCATTATTATAGAGTGTTGGTACATCATAGCTACGCAAATGGCCTCCAAACGTTGAAATCATCTTTTAAAAATTTCTTGCCTCATGTAACGCTTGTTTGAAAAATCAATGCTCTACTCCCTTGGTTCAATTTTCTCTTCTTCTTTACGTGTTTATCTATCAACTATGAATGTGTCTAGTCTGTCCTTCGCTAGAGTGTTGATGGAAATTTATATTACTTGGAAATTTTCTACTCTTATTTAGATTGGTTTCCAAGCTTGTGGTTACTGATAGAAGACCGTTTTTCTGAGGATTTCAAGATACTACTCTTATTGTCACCTATTTGGCTATATTTTTGGTTCATACAAGAAAGCTAGTGATTTAGAAGCGCAAAATCAAAACGCTAAAAAGAATGCAATTGTTGCAACCTTGGTGAACCAATAGTACTTATTCAAGATGATGTTGGCCAAGTTCTTACCAATATTAAATCCTCTCTCTTTCATTGTCTACCATCCCTATTGTTGCTAATGAGGATACTCTTTGCATATGGATGTTCATGATGTTCCCTCTACTATGTGCATGCATCTTTGAAGCATTTTCCTTCTACTACTATCATGGAGGAGCGTGTTATTGCTCAAAACAAATTATATCCTGAGCAGTCCTCATAACAAATCACTACAACAACAACATCAACAACAACAACAACATCAAGCCTTTTTCCCACTACATGGGGTTGGCTACATGAATCCTTTTTCGTCTTTGTCCTGTTAAAAGTCAAATTCTCATTTAAATCTAATAAAGAAAGATCATTTCTAATATTTTCTAACAAAGTCTTTTTAGGTCTATCTCTACCTTTCTTAACATAAGTCAAATCTAATACCTCAACTTTCCTAATCGAGTCATCGGAAGACCACCGTTTAATGTGACCAAACCATCTAAGGCGACTCTCTCTAATCTTATCTTCCACTGGAGCTACTCCAACCTTTTCACGTATATGCTCATTTCGTTTCCTATCTCTAAGGGTAAAGCCACTCATCAACCTAAGCATCCTTATCTCTGCAACACTTAACTTAGTATTATGCTTCTCTTTTAATGGCAAACATTCGGCACCATAAAGCATTGCAGGTCTCACCATCATCTATTTTCCCTTAAGTTTGAGGGGGACTTTTCTATCGCACAGCAAGCCCAATGCATTCCTCCAATTCAACCATCCAACATTTGGCACCTAAAAAAATCACTGCACCAAAATATAAACCATGAATTAAAAAGAAAAAAATTGAGAATCTTGTTAAAATCTAAAGGAAATGTGGGTGATTATCAAACCTCCTTCGATAATTCACAACACTACACATATCTTCAATAGAAACTTATTGCAAAGAAGGTGGTATTCAAAGATTAATTCTCCACCTGACTCCCCCGAACGTTGTATAATCTCAACCTTTAAATGAAGTTCCAACCAAGGGTGAAGGAACCAGATTGCAATTGATCATCTAGTATTGCTATCATTATCTATAACTTTGATGGAGTGCTAGGCATCGCAGGCTGATCTTGAGGTTTCGTTTGGGACGGTTTTCTTACTGTTTCTTAAAGCAATTTTTTAGTACAAAAATTTTAATTTTTATATTAAAACCCTGCTTTAAGAAGCAGTAAGAAAACCGTCCCAAATGAAGCTTGAATGACAGTGCGGTAGTGGGCTTAGGTCGCCTGTGACGGCACTGTGAGGTGAATGATGGCTGGATGGTGTTTTCTTTGATAGGTTTTAAAATGTAAATAACCTAAAATGTAAAGAGAGATTTTTGTGCCGAGTCAGTTGGGGCACCAGCCCCATTGCCCTTATTGTTGACCAAGTGTTTCTATGACCACTAAAACGTTTTTGATGCATATTGTCTTGATGCCTTGTGTTAATTAGCATGACATTGATGCTTACCTATACTCTTTGGTAGATTGAAAGCTTGATATAAAATAAAGTATTTGCATTCAAAATAATTTCCTATATTTGGTTCCATAAGGTTAATTCAGTTAATTGTTCTCCTTAAAATTTCTTTTCTTCTTAAAACTGTAGCAAGCCTGTATGTGGCAGAATCAGTTGGATTTGTTTTGTAGAAGGTTACTTAACATTAATCAATTAATGGCAACTAAATGGTCCCTTCATGAGTCAGGTGGTGCTTCGACGTCGAAATTGTCTATCTGTGCAAGCGCCTAAATATTCCAATGATCGAAGTATCAGTAAATTGGACTGAAATACCTGGTTCGAAAGTGCGGCTGACTAGCATAGCTCACATGCTGTTTGAGCTCACATTGATTCGATTAGGCTATGGACTTGGCATTTGGAAAATTTACACCTGATCTCTGTCAACTCATACCACAGTGGATCGTCATCCCTCGGAAGTTCTTACAGAGGAGAATGGTGATCAATTGGGAAGCAGTGACTAACTCAAAATTGCATGAAAGAGCAGTTTTGATATGTTATTTGCTCAGTCTCAAAGTTCTATGTGCTCCATCTGTGCATGCTATGCTATTTATTCTTCATGGAAGTCATTGTTTGGAATGTTCTAGAATTTTTGTATTATGAGTAATTAATTATACCTTGTCCAGATGATTACTTCTGGCTTCTGAGAGCTTATATTTGTAGTTTTCTGATTTTTCTGTAATATTTAGAACAGAATGTTCCTCTTGGTGAGAAACTTGGTAGCCAATGGGTTCATATTAGCTTAAAGGAACTGATTAATTTTCACTGTCAGTTGCTAACTTGTAATACCTTGAAATATGTTTTGTTAATGATTTTTCTTTCTATCCTAACAAATAGTGGTGGCATGATTAGGATGAAGGTCCATGTTGTGTGAGAATTATAATGAAAAAAATAGTGATTTTTATATTTAATATTATTTTTTAATATTTATCTATACAACACTTAAATATCTAAAGCATATTAAAATTATCAAATATCACTAATATAAATTTATTTAAAATAAAGTATATTTTTTGATATTTTATGGATATATTTTGATATAATTATCATTATATGAAATGAAGATTTATTGAATAAATAGGTTATTTAAGAGTTTTTAACTAAGGAAATTAAAATATTGACCAATATTGAAATAATAAATTAATAATATGGAATAACTAATTTGGAAACTAAAATAAATTTAAATAAAAAATGACTTTTATTGAAGATGGTGACCATATGGAAAATGTTCATTTAATACTATGGAAGGATATATGGGGAAAAAAAAAGTTGCTATGCAAAATTAAGAAATAATTTACTCTTATTGAAGCATAAATGGCAAGACACAAGTTATGTAATATAGATAATAAAAAAACAAAAAAAAAAAAAAAGATAATAAAAGAACAATGATTTAATAACTATTATTAATATAACAAATATAATTATACTAATAAATTATAGTAATGATCAAAATGCTAATTATTCAATAATCATTCACAATATGATAGCATTCATAATCTTTCTTATGAAAATTATAGTTAATGCATTTACACTCAAACATATTAATATATATTCAAAATTAATTTTCACTCAAGTAATGGAATTTAATAATACCTAAGAGGCTCATCGTATTATTGATCCATCAATTGGCTGAGGATCTTATTAATAAGCCGGTACTATCAATATTTACATTTATCATAATTGTACAAAGGCATTCATATATTCTATGATGAGCTTTACAATTATTTTCTACGTAGTATGATCAAAACTTATTCAGTATCAATAGATTTCAATATTGAGATGGGCAATATTTAAATCACATAAATCAAAAGAATTTACATATAAATGAGTTGAGCAATCACATGCCTCATTTCAAGGATTAATTATTCTATGCGGACACCGAACGTCGTCCAAAGACCAATCATAACGGGCAACGTCACCTCTTTGCTCCGTACCGCAGCTCGATACGACTGACGTGACGTATTCTGGTTGGTCTCCGGACGATATTCTACGTCCGGCCTCCACACAGAATAATTTCTCCATTTCAAAAGCAAAGAATTTACATAACAATTATAAAGATAATGCTGGCCACATATTACATGGCATGGCAACATGCTCATAAAACACCTATGAAAGTATAGGAAAATTGAACATGTAAGGCATGATTGAATATATAATTCATGATTTAAATTCTATTAAATATTCAAGTAACCTATTAAAAACATGAATGATAGGATAATTTTCAATAGAGAAAATTACATATTATTCTCAACCAAATAAAATAATAACCTTCATAGTATGTTAGAAAGTTTATTGCTATGTTGAGATTGAGGAGAATATCACAAAACATGTACTTGAAAATCCTAAATAATAATACTTAAAAATAAACATTCAAAATTATAACATGTAATTAATAAAAATTGGTAATTAACCTAATCAAATTCTAAATCAACATTAAAATAAAATCTAATTAATAAATTGAGAAAACTTCTAAATCAAATATTATGATTAACCAAATAAAATTTAAACAAATTTATTTATGATGATGAAGTATATAATGATCATACAACTTATGATTGACATAACAACTTGATGAATGTAAATAAGGATAAAGCATTCATAGAGTGCACTGAGACATACTTAATTACTATAAATGCAGTGCTATTTTCATTGAGACACTTGCTTTTGTTGAATATTGGGAAGCATTCTTGAATAGCTATAGTCTATAGAGTATGCTATTAGAGGAGAAAGACAATGAGAGAGATAAAGATTGATATGATACACTACAAGGCTACTACCACAAAAAGAATTCCTAACTTAATATACTATTGTTGGATATGCTATATCATTAGAAAGATGCTTTCTACAATAACTTTACAAAACATTAAAAAAGCGATCTCAAACAAAGCCTAAAGTTTCGTTTGAGACAGCTTTCTTGATGCTTTCAAAAGTCACTTTTTAATATAAAAATTTCTCGCCTAAGTAATTTTGGACTAAAAAAAATCAGTAAGAAAGACATTCCAAATGAAGCCTAAATTGTTCTGTAAACACCTTTATTTTACTCACTTTATTTTATATAGTTTTTAGATTGCATTCTATATTATATATTTTATAATATATTGTGTTATAGCTATTGTGATTGTACCCATTATTTTTACTTATGTGTTGTGTCATTTTTACATTTTATTGTGTTATAACTGTTATATTACACTTTGTTACATCCATTATAAGATAAACTATGTACAAATCATATTTGAATTGTTCTAGCCATTTCTCAGTCATCTTAAGCCTTCTAAGAACTGTGCGCAAAACATTTGAACTATATTTAAATTATATTATAGTTCAAATCAAATCGCGAGTTTAAATTATATTCAAACTAAGATTCTAAGATGAAGTAATTCAAAATAATTTTTCAAATAAATAGTTTTCAATTTATAAATGTGGTAATTTAGTCTACAAAAAGTTTTTTAACATTTAAAAAAATAAATAACAAAATATTCCATAAAGTATCACTAGCAAATAAAATCAAAATTGCCGGATTTATATTATGTGCCTGTAAATGAATCTAAAAATGCTGTCCCCATCTGACGTGCCACCTCAACTGCTCACCGTTTATTTTAAGCTCCCTGTTTCCTTCCCGAAGCATTTCTTCACTCGCATTTACCTTCATTATTCCAGAAAAAAGTCTCCTTTTTCTTCATCTCGTCCCTTCCTCTCCTCTGCAACTGCGACGCGTTCTACATCTTTACCCCCTTCGGCTTCAACGCAATGGATGACGTCGTCAATTTTCTCTCCGGCGAGTATGGCATCCGCCAACCTGGTAAGTCAATTCCTATGGCCGCCTCCAAGCCTTCCCCCGCCACAACCCTCCCTTCGTGGAACAATCGTTCTTCTAAGTCCGGCAAGTTGTCCAATTTCAGCGATGGCGTTCTCGAGGAGGATAGCGCGCTTTCTTCCTCCAATAAAGACTATGTCTTGGAGAGTCTAGGGATGGGATTGACGGAGACCAAGGGCTTAGGTTTTGAGGAACTCGTATATGGGAATAAGGCAGCAGAAGATCCGTTTTTAGTTTTTGAAATGGGTTATCCTTCATTTCATCAATCGTCGGTGCATTCAAATGTGATTTCTTCTGCTTCTGTTGATGAAAGGGATTTTTTTGATGTTTCGAGTGGTATTGGAAGATTTAAATCTTCGTTTGCTTCTGAGGGAAGTGGGCGTATAGGGAAAGTTAACATTCCCAGCAGTGTTTTTCAGAACCCTAGCAATGTCCAAAAGTTTATTGTAAAGGAGCCACTGCAGAGTTCTTCTCAATATTCAAATCCAATTGCCAGACCTCCAAATCCTCCTATGTTAGGAGAAAGTTTTGAATTTTTTAGTTTGTATGAGAATGCTGCAGTTGAAAAAGAGAGGGCAGCAACTACGTCAAAACATGAGAAAACTAATTACAATGGCATTGAGGCCTTCTTCTCGAATATAGGTTTGGGAGGAAACTTGCGACCAGTGCAAATGGAAGCAATCTCTGAAAGTATTTTTGATGCTCCTTTTGAAATGCAGGGAGCTTTAGGAGGGGCTCCGCAAGGCCCTGCTGGTTCTAATTTAAACATCAAAGAATCATCTTCTATGAATAGTAGGATGGATGATCTATCTTTTGGGATAGGAGCTTTTCAATCACCTTCTAAATTTCAAGATATTGATGGAGACAATGAACATAGAAGACAGGCAAGATATGAACGGGAGAGGAAGAAAATTGAGAGAGCAGAAAAAGCTCTTTCTGAGAAAATTGAGCATGATTTTGAATTACAAAAGGAGAAGAAAGAAAGAGAAATGATTGCTGAAGAGCTGGATATTAAGGTCAAGCAATGGGCTGCTGGACGAGAAGGAAATTTGCGTGCTTTGATATCAACATTGCAAGATGTGCTTTGGCCAGAGTGTGAATGGAAACCTGTATCTTTGGGCAATTTGATGACTTCTGCTTCTGTTAAAAAAGCTTATGGAAAAGCAGCTCTGTGTATTCATCCTGACAAGGTACAACAAAAGGGTGCAACTCTGCGGCAAAAGTATGTTGCTGAAAAGGTCTTTTATCTCCTCACAGAAGCTTTAAATAAGTTCAGCTCGGAGGAGCTCTCATAGGTGGCCTTTGGAAGATTAGAGAAGATTAATTGAATTGAGTTAAGTTTTCAAGCTATTATGGAATTTTAACAAAAAAAAAAGAAACTTTAGCTAAAAATGTTGAAGATGGCTTTGTCGAATATTTAGAAGATTCTTTATTGCAAATGGTTGTGGTGTCATGACATATCCTTTCGTTGGCCTGTTGTAATGGTAAACAATGTCTTTCTTATTGGTTTGTATGATATGATGCGTTTTTTTGCTTTTGATTTTCTTTAGAGTTAATAAAATGGGTCGTTGACTCAAATTCTATAAGATAGTAGTGAGATCTGCAATGTTTTATGGTGCACAATGTTGGCCATTAAAAGAGAAGCATAATGTTAAGTGTTGCACAGATGAGGATGCTCAGGTAAATGAGTGGTTTTACTCTTAAAGACAGGATACAAAATGAGCATATATGTGAAAAGGTTGGAGTAGCTCATGTGGAAGATAAGATTAGAGAGAGTCACTTTAGATGGTTTTGTCACATAAAATGACAGCCTTCTGATGACTCGATTAGGAAATTATATGTATTAGATTTGACTTATATTAAGAAAGGTAGAGGTAGACCTAAAAAGACTTGGTTTTAAAAATATTAGAAATGACCTTTCTTTATTAGATTTAGATGAGAATTTTACCCTTAACAGAACATAATGGTGAAAAATGATTCTTGTAGCCGACCCCATCTTGTAGGATAAAGGCTTGTTGTTGTATCATTTCTTTTTTATTAGGCATCATATTTAGGCTTCGTTTAGGACAATTTTTTTCACTGTTTTAAAAAAATGTTGTATTAAAAAAATGCTGTAAAAGCCTAAAAGGTAGTAAGAAAGCTGTCCCAAAACCTTAAACTGAACATTAATTTTTTTGGAAAATAGTTAGAAACTAATAGGGATGATAGATTAGGTTTTTATTAGATGACTTCGTTTTTGCACTCTGATGCTGTTTTAAAGCTTATTTTCTACTTTCTTTGTGTTTTTTAAAGCTTATTTTCTCCCAAAACTGAAAAAGAAAAAAATCACTACTTTGACTGCATGTGGTATTTTTCTTTTGATCATCTTCTTCTCCTTCACCAGATGTAAAAATAATTGAAGCTTTAGTAGTATAAATGCCCTATAAATGCCATCATTTCATAATTTTAAAAGCTTGAAGTAGGTTGTGTGGGGTATATTTATCTAACCAATGGAAAAGATGTGTTGTGTGCTTCATTTGCAGCAATTTGAATGATTTTCATGACAATTTGGGTTAGGCTGGGCACCAGCAGTTGACTGTGTTATCTTGTTCTTACAGCAATATATTTTAAACTGTCAAATTTTGTATTTTTTCTAACCAAGCCAGTGCATGGCCTAGAAGTTCAATATATTTATTTATTTTTTCTTGTGGGGGAGGTGTTGAGTGATTATATTACAATTTTGCTAGAAATTAGTGGTTAGGGCATCTCCAACCGAACATCATTCGTCCATTTGCAATTCCGACGAGCATCAACCTGAACGGCAAATGGAAATGCATTTTTGCGTTTTATCTCGGCTATGAAAAGTGAGATGACAATATTGACATAACAATATTTAGAAACCCTTTTATTGTGTTAGAAAATAAATATAAAAATAGAGATGATAACTAATATTCTTTTTTGGTGTTAGAAATGGAGTTAGGTTGAGATGAATTACTATTTGATATGATTGTTAATGCATTTTGATGTGAAAAATAGTTTTTTCGGTTGTAGATGCCCTTAGCGCACGTTTGAACGCACGCCATCACTGTGGGAAGCCGAGCTTCCTAGTCACGATGTTGCTTGTGTGTGAATAGGAAGGAGTTTGTGATAATGACTTCTCCGCCCTCCCTTCTCCCTTTTCCCTTCTTTTCCGTTTGACAAGAACTGTCTGTTTGCTAAGGGCTTCCTTCTTCATTGCCAGTTGCCTTCAGGGGCTTTGATGCCTTCCACTGCTTTTAATTAAGTCCTCTCCACCCTTGCCTCTTGAACTCAGTGCTTAGCGAGGAGGCCTTCAAGGGCTCTTCTTCTCTGGAAGAAGAGGAAGGTTATGATACACATGAGGCCTTCTTTCTGTTATGTCAGCATAGAATGTTTCATCATGCTTGGGTTTGCCCCGTTTCAAGTTAATAAAACTCATCAGGAAGATTTTCTCTTGAAACAAATTTATCTAGCAGATCAATAGATCTGTGTTGAATGTTATGAAACTCATCAGGATTTCTTCTAGTTATTGAACTGTTCGGTTGTTCATTTTGTCCTATTAGATGTTGGATCATACCGCCCTAATGGGTGAAAAATGATTGTAGATCGTCTCGATTAAATATATTCTTTCGTGTTCCCGATTTAGCATAACTGAGAACTTAGACAACTATCCTAATCATTCTTGGATCTTATGCATAACTAATAAATGTTTCTTAGCCTTCTCAAATAATGCAAAGCTCTGCAGTTTAGATCCCTTAAAAAAATTAGTATCATGATGATGATGACCATGGGCACAGGATTGTAGATGTCATTGTAATATTGTCAAGAAATTATTATATATACAATATACAAATTCGAATAAGTTTTGGAGAAAGTGCTACGTGATAGGATTCATCAGTTGAAAATGGACACACACATATATATATATATATGTCCATTTATAAATAAGAAAAATAAATAAATAATAATTTATTGTATAGACTATATTATATATATTATTGTTGCACCATGGAATATTCGCGACGGTAGAGAAATATAAAGTTTAACGTCTTAGTTTTGTACGAAGATCTAACACATAAACAGATGAAAGATATAGGCATAACGTTCGTAAGAGACACCACGATTTTTATGTGAAAAATCATGAAAAGGGAAAAATCATGGGGGCTGGCCTTGTTTGAATAAATTCACTAATCTTTATAGTTGATTGCAAACGAGGCCTTTCCTTAGGGGTAAGGCCTTGGCTCGATGTAGCAAATATAAATTATATAGAGTGCATCATATGATGGGAGTTGGAAGAATCAGCATTGATATGTTCGTTTGGTTGGCAGGACCATAGTCGGTGAGCGATGTAGATTGGAAGGACCGCAGTTGAATGACAGTGGTGATTAGAAGGACCATAGTCAGGCAACAGAGGTCGAAATAATATAATTGGCGGACAAAGGAGGTCAGAAAGGCCATTGTCGGGTGACAGCGGTCGGGGAGACTGTAGTCTGGAGATGGTAGTTGAAGAGACCGTAGTCGGCGGGTGACGGAGGTTGAAGAGATCGTAGTCGGCAGGCAATGGTGTTCAGAAAGACCATAGTCAGGCGACGAAAGTCGGAAAGACCATAGTCGGCGACGGTACGTAGTTAGGAGGAAATCTAGCGATAATTGGTGGAAGAGCGTAAGTCCATCGATAGTGGGTGACCGGGCGAAAGCCGTCAAAAGCCCGGCGATAGTCGAGTGCAGGGCATAAATCCAGCATCAATTGGTGGCCGAGCAAAAGGCCAGCGACAGTCAATGGCCGGGCATAAATCTGTCATCAATTGGTGGTCAGGCATAAATATGACGTTAATTGTCGGCGAAAGTCGGTGGTTGCGCATAAATCCGGTATCTGTTGGTGGTCAGGTGAAAGTTCAACAATAATCGGTAGCCGGGCATAAGTCTGGCGACAGTTGGTGGTCGGGCGATAGTCCGACGAAGGTCAGTGGCTGGGTATAAGTCCGATGACAATTGATGGCCTAGTGGAAGTTCGATGACAGTCGGTGGTTGGGAGGAAATACAGTGAAAGTCCAGTGATAATCGGTGGTTAGACGTAAGTTCGGTGACAGTTGGTGGCCGGGCAGAAGTCTGGCGACAGTTGGTGGTTGAAGGAAGTCTAGCGACGGTCCGTGTCCGGGCGGTGGTCAAGGAGGAGCTTAGTGGCAAGAAAGATCTCAGATTTCTCATCCTCTCTTTCTTCTTCCATCCCTTAGTGAAAATTGAGGGGTCTTTTTATAGTTTTATTAAAGTGACATGACCAGTACATATGGAGAAGATCAATGGTATGTTGAGAGTGGTTTGAATGGACGACCTGTATTGATTCCCTTGAACTTACACTTTATCGATTATTTAAGTGACTTAATGATGTCAAAATTTGACGATCTTAGGCTCGTTGGATTCATCTCGTCGAGCTGCTCGATTCCACTATAAGCATGACATATTTGGATTTTATGGAATTGTCCAATTTATGCTTTGAAGCTTCCAAACATGCTTCGGGTCCTCGATTTGGTCCCATTTGGACTCGGATTGGATCAAATTTGGTGTCGTTGGGTTCATCTCTTCGAGACATTCAGTTCAACTATAAGTTTGCTAAAATTAGAGTTTGGATGATCACAAATTTAATTTTAGAAGTTTCGAATTTTCCTCTAGATTCATGCTCAATCAAGAATTTTTTTTTGAAAATATATCAATTATACAGAAAACAACATCAAGAGAATCTCAATTTAAAATTTTAATCTCATTTTATATTAAGATTTAAAAATGATAATAATCAACTTTTATTTAAAATTTACTAAAACGTCACAATAAATAAAAATTAAATTAATTAAAAAAACTAATATTAGAGTTTAATAATTAGAATATTACATAATGAATAATAAATTAAATATTAAATTTATTCATCTTATTTTTTTGCGACTGATTTATGATGGATTTAAAGCACATAAAATGACGTCTTCATTTTAGCCACCCGTTGCTGATTCCGCTACTGATTACAATGGATTTGAAACAGATTTACGTTGGAAATGTCGCCGCAATTTGCGGCAAAAATATTGTCTCAATTTGTGGAAGAATTATCGCTGCAAATCTACCATAATTTGACGGAATATTTCAACAAACACTGTCTAGAAAGACACTGTTCTACAATTAAAATCCAAGTGCTAAAATAGAGAATCATATTCCAACTGCTCTACAATTACTACAAAAATGTTAAAGTAAATATAGTTCTTATACACCACAAAAATAAAATGCATCAAAAACCTAAGAAAACAATTTAAGCTGAATATGTATCATCACTCTCCTGCTCGGTCGATGCAAGCGTAGGCTGATTTTCACCAATCTGCTCTCTCAATCTTTGAAGCTCATTCAGTATCTGACTGTTAATGTCCACCTGTGATTTTTAGACATGTTCTACCTCTGATGTCAAGTTAGCTATATATTGGCTATATAAACTCTCATGGTTGTTTTCAAAATAGTTGGAGGCAGAAGAGTACTGTCCCTCATATGTGTAGGCTTACAAGCCTAATCCATAAACTTGTCCCTTCCACATTTCACCTAACACTTGCGATCA